CGGCGGGCGGCCCGGCGGCGGGGTCGGGCCGCTGCGATCGGAGCCCGGTGCGCGACCGGCGGCGGAGGCCCGTCCCGCTGCCGCCCCGGCTTTCTCGGCGGGATCCCACCAACCAGGAACCGAGCCGGCAACCCGCTCTCGCGAGAGCCCGGCCTCAACGTGCGGCGCGGCGGGAACGAGCGCGTCGCGAGCCGCCTCCTCCTCTTCCTCCTCCTTGGGCGGCCGTTGGCGCCGCTCCTCTCGCGCCCGCCTTCGCGAGCGCGGCCACGCAACACCCGGACGGGGGCGGGGCTGCCGCGCGCGCGCGAGCGGCTGTGCGGGCCGGTAACGGAGCGCCGCGTGCCGAGGGCCGCGCGCGGTGGGGGGGCGGGGGAAGGAGGCGGGACCAGCGCGGCGGCGTCACGGGCGCGCAGGCAAAGCCGGCCGAGGCACACATGCGTGCTCGTCCGCGCCAGCTGCTCGTTGAGGCAGAGCCCGCGTCCCAGCGCGCTGCACGCACCGTGATGACACGTCGCTCCGCCGCAGGTGCGCCTGCCTCGATCTGCTGTTAATGGGCGCACGGAGCTGGCCGTCCCATGCCGGGACAGTGCTGCTGGGATGGCAGCTCCGACCTAAAATTTCCAAGGAACGGAGGGAATCGGCTTGGACACAGCGATTGTGGCACTCGGTTTCTGAAAACAAGAATAACACGGCAGAAATGTTCAACTTCCCTAGAATAGGATTTCTCAACTCATGCTTTCTACTGCTTGTTTTCCCTCACCGCACAGGAGAGCCCAGTGCAGACCGGAACCCTGGCACTGTAAGCAGTAGCTGATTCCACCCCTTTTATTCATTTAGCTACCTGTGCTCATCTAACAGGACCCTGGGTGCAGGTTTTTACCTGCTCTCCTCCACTCCTTCCCCACAGTGCAGGCAGGATGGAGGGCTGGGAAGCACCACACGGTGCCCTTCCGATTTCTTACTCTATCTCCCACGAGAAGCACTCAAAACCACAGGTGGAAGATCCCTGGTGAGGAGAAGTGTGACTTTTAGGAAGAAATCAGGCACCCGGGAAGAGCTGGAGATGTTTCAGCGTCAACATTTATTAGTTCGAAAATCATCAGGTCAGATCATACTGGCTGATGGGAGACGAGAGAAGTTTTAGAGAAGGGGGGAAAATACCATCACCATCCTAGCCTCATCGAACCTGGCCGTCGAGTAAGGCAGTGTGTGGTGTTGAGATGCTTGTGGGCCTCAAAAGATGTTCGTCTCTGTGGCAAAATGATTTTCTCTTCCTGGATAGCTTATTTCTCTCTCTTCCTCTTTTATTATAGAGAAGAATCTTTGCGTCAAAGCTAAGATTCAGTGAAGTGTCAGCCCCAAATCTTTCATGCAGATACGGTCAAGCATTGTCAAAAAACATTCCAGCCAAAACCTCTCTATAGAGACAGGAAATAAAATTGGTCTTGCAACTGTACAGAACTTGGAACATCATAGGAGTATTCCTTGATAACCCTAATAGGATACCTGTAAAAACACACGATAGACCCAAAGGCTTCTGAATACAATTTACTTCTCAGTGTAACTTCTAACTGTAGCACTAATTCACCCCTAATTCATTATTCAGCATAACTCTCCTGAAGTTGCCATGGACCCTGTATCACGGCAACAGTACAATACCATTAGGAGTCAACTCTTAGACGCAGTTTTTGGACAAACTATTTCCAAGTGAAGTGAACCGTACTGTGAAGCAAAAGAAAGTTACTATTGTGGTTTAAGCCGGCAGGGAGATCAACACAGTGCAGCCATTTACTCACCTCCTCCCCACTGCAAGACAGGGGAGAGAACTGGGAAAAGCGCAAGAACTTGCGGGTTGAGGTAGACACAGTTTAGTAAGCAAGAATTAAAGTGATGAACAACACAGCTGCTCACCAGTAGCTGGCCAGTGCCCAGCAATGGCAAGCCCCTTGACCAACCTGCCCCACATTTTACTTATAAACATGGTACCACATGGTATGGAATATCCTTTTGCCATTTTGGGTTCTGTCTCCTCCCACTTTCCAGTGCATGCCCAGTCTGCTCGCTGGCAGAGACAGAGAAAACCTCCTGGAATTGAAGATTCTGGGGAGAAGTCTTATCAGAAAGACATGAAAAATCAAAGTAAAACTTCAAAGAACAAAGCACACAGGCAACAATAACACCAAGTACTCGATTCATTACAAAGCAGGGAAAAAGAAAAGACCTAGCAAAAATGACAGTCTGACATAAATACGTGACTAAAACAGATACAATTCTAGCCAATGATCAACCAAATGGGAGTAGGCTGGGCCAAGTTATTTCAGCAGCTCCGAGCAGAAGGCCGCAGCCAGCAAAATTGATGCTATTTAGAAATGATACTTTCTGAAGGAAACAGAAGGTCGTACAACTGCAGCTAATCTGAGATACGAAATGAAAACATTCTCACGTTCTGATGCTTGGTTTTTTTGTTTTTTCTAAGGTGCAAAGGTGCACTGGTGCTTGTGTTCTCTGGGTACTCCATCCCCCCCCTTTTTTTTTTTTAAGAGGCATTAATTCCATGTAAAGAACAGTCCTGTTGGCTTAGTTCAATGTTTCCGTCTTTTTACGCAAAGCACTTACTAAATAAAAGCCTCAAGGCAGATGTTAGAAATATCAACTGGAAACTCATCCCTAAGCTTTTGTGAAAGTACATTCTGCATTTATGCCAGTATACCCTGACCAAAAAAACCACCAGAACTAAAATCCTAATGAATCCAATTGGCTAGTCACATTATCACAAAACTAGGTCTGTGTATTTTTCCACATTTGCTAACAATGACCCACGAAGCAACCTGCTTTCTGTAAACTGGATTTTTAAGTAGAAATTGGTGCTCTACCTGAAGCATTCTTAAAAGTGGTGTTCCTCAAGCACATGCTGGACTCCGCACTGCTAGGTTATATAGCTACTCGCTAGCTGGTTACAGCTAGTCCAGGCACAGCTCAACTCTCCTACAATAAAAGGAAACAGCTAAACCTGAATAAAATACTAAGTCGTCCTACTGTGAGCATTTTGGATTTTATCTCCTCAACCAAAAATGCTGTATTTCACACTCAAAAGTTCTCGGTCAATATAATGACCGAATGCTAAGAACGGTTCTGCTTCACATTGCACCTTTTAAATATCTCCACAAGACTGGATTTCCACGCCACCTCCTAGCACGCAATCAGGCCACCTGGATGGGTACACCTGGGCAAGTCCCATCTACATACTAGTACCCAGCAGCTGCAGCTGAGAAGAACCTCGAGCAGCATTTAATAAAATCTTATGATAGCAGCAGCCAAATTCTTACGAGCATTTCTAAAAACTGATGTGATATGCATTTTCTTCTGGTTTCACTGCAGATCCAACTTACTGGGAAAAGGCTTAGCAACAAAGCCTGTACGAATCTTCAAACACGTACCAAGATTATTTATACAGACTTTCTTTTTCTTTGAAATAACTGAAAGAAAGCTTTCAGGGTTTCCATTTTAATTATTTTGTATTCTAGGTTCTGAAACCACGGGATTTCTTGTATGCAAGATCTTTGGACACATCTGGCTAAAATATTTCCAAATTAGTACGTTTTTTACTTCTCGTTTTTAAAACAGACATAAAGGCATTGCCCCATGACTTGTGGTTTAGTAACAGCAAAAAAATATTTCTCATCTCACTAAGTTTAGCATCACGATGAGATACTTTCATAGTCCATTTCACCAAAATGTTCAGCGTTTCTGACGTTATGCACGGACACTGCGGGTTACTCAACTGTACACTTCAGGTAACTTGTGTCCCGCTTACCAAGAAGTGAAATTGCTTCTGGCAGGTTCTTGGCAATACCAGCTTAATTATTTGCAGGTAGGCCAATAGTCATATACACAAAGGATGGAAGTCTCCCAAATGGGAAGGGGCTCTCTGGCTGTACGGTACTCCTTCTCAGGAAGCAGCCTAGGTCAGAACTACGCTCTCCCTTCAGTGGCAGGCCCATAGATGAGCAGAGAAGCTGCACCTGAGTTTACCTCCTTTGGACGCATGGGGAGCACAGGTGCAAACAATTTGCCTGTGTTCCCTGGACCAGCCACAGCCCTTTACCAGCTGCTCAATCATCAGTTCAAGCTGCGACCTAACAGCTCCCCTACAAACTGTTTCTTCTAAACAAGTGAAAACAAGCATACAACCTTTTTAAATCCTCCAAAACAAAGGATTTCTTAACGAAGATGTTCAATGAGATCCACTGGCATCAGAACGTTCTAGCTGTTTAGTAATATGTCAAGCCTCTCATCTAGTCATGCAGCGAGTACTTGTTCTTCTCCCACTTTTGTTACTAAACATTCATACCAAAGATGTCAGAACTTAAACATACACTGGGAAGCTCTCAAGGGCAATGACACTGTTCGTAAGCAACTTTTTTTTTTTTGTCCCACTCTACCTCACCAAACAGGAATACATCCAAGCATATCTGGCCACTTGTTTAGTTAAAACGGAAGCTTAAAAAAACCTCACAGCTTGGTCTCTGGCTCATCCACAGCCCATAGTCATAATGCTTTTGAGGAAGGTTTGCTCACAGCTAGTCATTACAAACAGTACTAAGCTTAAATTTGTTCGCAGTAAAGATCTCGTTCGGCTCTCGGTACAATGGGAAAGATACAGAGCTGCCCATCAGTCCCCATGTAGCTGTATGTAGCAATGCATTTCAAATGATACGTACAACTGCAAGACTGTAATTGCCTGCAAAACCTGTGTGTGTCACTATATCACAGCTGCCACACATAAGTGAATTGTCTTCTTTTTAATACATAAACAAAAATCTCAAGTAAAAAAAGACTAACGTTCATGTTTCTATCTTTTTCAACATCACTTTGCACATTTCTGGGAGAACATGACTATGTATCTGCATCAGCACTTTAAGAGCTTACAGCGATTAAGTCACACTGTGCAGAAGCGTAGCCAGTAGCCTTTATGAGAAAGCAATGGTTGAGGTGATACAGCAAGGCATCTTTAGGAGTCTATCTTACCGCACGAGGCGCTAACGTTTTCTTTTGATATGAGCAAGATCCAGATGCGTATTTGCAGTTGAAATTTGCTCATTTTAAATGGACGCACAGCAGTGAAAACTACACCCACACTATAAGATAACCCTGTTTTAGACAAACAAGACAGAACCTCCTACCTGTTTGAAGAGGAACGCTTGACAACACTGACAAGCTGCACCTTCACTGCTTTCTACTGGAGCTTCAACCAGCATCCACTCGTTAGTAGAGCGTCCTCACACAATTAGTAACTGGAAGTTACGGCTAAGTCTAATTCTCCTTCTACCACTTTTAATTTTAGAACTTACATTCTCAATTTAATATTCACACCCTTTGAAAATCCTAGAGCTCTGTCAAACCTGAAGCGCAAAGTCCCATTTTAGCTTTTAAGGTGAAAACGTGACATGTCGTCAAGAGTTAGCATGCCTCTGTTTCTTTGGACTAAATGAAAGTAGGCAAGTTATTACTGGAAACAAGGGGAGAAAACAGCTTAGAAATTTAATGAAACCAAAGATAACTTTTAGCCTGTTACTTACATAGCATTACACTACACGTTGGAAGCTATTATTTTCATTAAGAAAAAGCAGGAAAATGGTATAAAAATAGTAGAGTGTAATTCGTAATTGACACTCTGAATGCTGTTAAATTTTAAATGAAGAAAGAATAAGCAGAACCTGTAAAACAAGCACTGATGTCATAAAACAGAACAAAACTGCCTTGTATCAATTGTTCAGTAAGAGATGCCAGTCTAGGAAACTTTCTATGAGGCATTTATACTTCAATATCAGAGATGCTCAGGACACCTGAAAAAATACTACTGGTACCTAAATACAAGTGTCAGTCAGTGTTTCATTATAAAAACCCACAGAGTTATTAAGTAATAAATAAATACACGCACAGAGCCAGCAGATGTTTCAAGGAAGGGCGGGTTATGAATAAGAAAACAATTAGCACCCCTTCCAAAATCTCTTCCCCTAATTTAGGTGTCTATGGAGAGACAAAAGAAACAAAGTTGAAATAGGATTTTAAGATCCTGTGGAAGTGCTGGACCACACTGTATGACTCTTTCCCTTAACAGTAAGCATCAAAACAACTATGGCTGATAAACCAGAGCAGTGATTATCTCATCACTTCTGTTAGCAAATTAGAGGCAGCTCGGTGGAAGCGCTCTGCTATGACTGTACCAATAAAACGCTTAAAACCAGCATCCTAAACCAAAATTACCTTCACATTAAGCGTTCCAAGCGTTTGATGTATCTGTGAGTGCGTCAGCCATCGCAGCAGTGAGGAACAGTTTATTATGTAGTAATAGTAACTTCAAAGCAGAGTTGAGTTTCACCTCCAGAGTCCTCCAGGACCTGATACGCTTCCGATCAAGCTTTCAAGGTCCCCTGGCTCACATGGCTTTTCCCAGCTCCCAGGAGGCTGGGACTCCGATTAATTCAGTTGCTCGCAGCAGGGTTTGAAAGCAGAGATTTGTTTTGAAAATTAATTCAACGTTTTTTGTTTTGACAGCTACCTAATGTACAATTTCAGAAAGTAAGCGGTTGAAATCTAGGCACTTTTACAAACACATTAATACCCAACTGCTGTTTAACAGGACAGAGCTTACACATCGAAACTGAACAACTTGATTTATTTAAAATTCACCTCAAAATCCATTTTTTAGCTTTTTTTTTTTAATGAACATTCAAAGCATCAAAATATTACTAATTTTAAAAGAACCTTCGTTAAAAATAACATAATTTACGTATGGTAGATTGTGGTTGCGAGGGGAGAGAACCAACGAACGGTAGGTTAGGCACAGTACTAAGGCCAACATGTCAGAAAACAAAACAGCTGCATACTCAAATTTTAAGTGACCTGGACAAAATAAAACAATGGGGGGTGGGGGGGAAACAAAACCGATAGCTTACTCAAGGGCAGTTGTAGGAAAAAATAAAAGCGTTAGTAAGTTTTCTATCTAAATCTATCCTGTTCACGTATTTAAAGAGCTCTATTTTCTTCCATATATCAAAAAAATTGTTTCTAAATCAAGGCAGATTATTATTTGGAACTGTCATAGTAAAATAAGGGATCACAGTATACAGAGCTTAAAATCCTGTACCAGGAAAGAGGAACGAGTGGTTTACGAGGGGATCATTTAAGTACATGATCTAATTTTTAAAACAGAGATATAAAATAACAGTTGCATAGGGATTTAAATATAAGGCCAAGCAGGAGATTAAAGTAAAATACAGATCGTAAGAAGGGCACTACGGTGTCAAAACATAGTATTTCCATTTGAATTAATGTCTAATTCAAAATCACAGTATTTTGCTAGTACTATAAACAGTGAATGTCAAACTGTCCCGTTAATCTTGAACTGAAAACTGACATTAGAACTTCTAAACAGTACAAAACTAAAGCTCACTGTCTAAACCTGATCAGTGTGTTAGCACAGTAGTGCTTGGTACGTACCTGATTTATATACTCTACCTTCTGTAAATAATATAAAGGTTATTTCTTGTTAATAAGTGTGAGATCACAATATTACTGCATGCCATCAGTGGTTTGCAGGCTTACTTGATATTTAATTACTCAGTCTTAAAAAGTGTGAGATCCCACCCTGCAGAATCTTCACCTATCAAACACAGAACACTGTCATTAATAAAATACAATAGAAGTTCCACCGCTAACAACTAACATATAAGCCAGTATTGTAGGTCTAAACCCAGTATAGGTCATTATTATTAAATCACAGCAATTTTTGTTAGGAAGGTAACCTGCGGACTTCCAAATAATCTTTTGCATGTATTAAATATAAACAAGTACGTAACTGACGGTTACCACTTGACACTTCAAGTAGATTATTCTATTGTGAAAGTATTTCTGCAAAAAATTGATTTTAAGTTGTTAAAATGAAGTTCAAATATTCATTTCCATATCTACACGTAGCTTAATTAACCTAGAATTGTAAAGAATAGTAGTGTAAGGAAAAAAATTCTGCAAATGAATTAGGCATTAAGGTACACTAACTGGGAATACCTGAACCAACATTGTAACTGAAAAAGTGCATAAACATGGTAATACTACAAACGTGTTAACTACAGAACGAGAGGTTTTCTGAAAGCAAAGTGGTGCTATTTTACACGTTATTTACAGGTTGCAAATTTTCCAGAGACCACACAGCCAATTTACGATCTTAAACTTCTCTGATGCTTATGAAGCGTCCTTTGGCTTCCATCCTACTCGGTCAAAAACCTATTCACACACCAGTGAATACCGTACAGCCAAGCAACAGGGCCATTATGGTTCTTTAAATCTTCAAAATTCATTCCTTTCCGTTCTTTGAAGAATAAGCAGTGTTTTCACTTCACGCTTTTTGTGGGTGTTTCTGATTCTGTAGACTGTCGCCCATCAGTCCATGCCTCTCGCGTGCTCTTCAGTGCAAGTGTTTTCTGCTGGTCAACTACAACATAATCAACTCTTTCATCTGCCACACTGCTGCCTGAACCGCTGCTCTTCTTCTGGATAAAGGCAAGAGAGAATGAAAAAAATAAGTTAAACTAATAATTTATTCATTAGAAAATTAAGTACATATCCCAAACAAATAAAGAACAAGCACAGGTTTCTCTGGAGAGTGTGACAGAGCCCCTCTGATTCACCTGAGGACAAACTACATGGGGTGATACGTCTGGAGGCTCTTTCCCAGCAGCTTCTTGCAAGGAAATCCCAAGCTGTTTGTGCCGATCATTCGAAAAGTCAGGACGTGCTTACCTTACGAGGCGGGGTAGATTTTCCTGAATCTAGGTCCAGATCTAGATATTCCACTTGCTTATCTCCTTTAGGTTTTACCATGGGGCTGCTTCCTCCATCAAGACTGTTGCTACCGAACAAATTCTGAAATTGTAACATAAAGAACTTCAGCTGCGAATGTACACAGTAACAACCCAAACTGTCAAATATGCTTATTATTAACTGTCAAAACACTGAAGGTTAAAGAACTGAGTTTTTACGACCAGGTAAGCCATGCAAGTTTTGTTGACGTTATGCAACAAGTAGATAGAGTCAAATTAAACAAAAATGAAACAATCTTGAGCTCGGGACAAAATCAAAAGCCAAAGGGAGTGGACGGAAGGAAACCAAAAGCCGCCGCCCCAAAGTTAAGATTGTCACCAAATCAATCTGTACCTTCCACCTAATACCCCTTTCATACCATGAGGTAATAATGAATTGCTTTGGTGTTTCACATCTCAAGTTTAACATTTCTTTACCACAATGAAAAGAAAGAAAAACTTAAAATTGCTATTAGGTATCTTAGAAGAATTTCAGCCTTTCACAGTAGCAAAGCTTCAAACACAACTTTTCAATTTCAGTGAAAGCTATCGTAATTAAGCTTAAAACCACAAGGTATTATTCAAGTTAATAAAACTAAAAGATTATCACTTTGGATTATTTGTGCAGGACTGCCTAAACTGAAGTCGTATTGCATATACCTACATTTCAATTAGCCCAGACTTTTACAACCTCACCTCCTCTGTCCTCTCCCAGCCTGATCCCTCCCTCTTAACAGGTGTTATAGGAACAGTACAATAGAAGGACTCTTCTCTAAAAGATAAAGAAAAAAAGGAAGACAGAGGGCAGCAGTCAGCAAAAAATGAAGAGGAAGGCAGAAGGACAGACAGAAGGGTAAGGCTGACAGCAACTTGAAGGAGAGAGCAGAACATTGCTGATTTTATTAAATAAAACAGAAGTGCAACATGTCCAAGTGATGATTCAATGCTGATGACAGAAAAGGATTTTGAAAGTATGGAGTTCTCACTAAGATATAGCTGAAGCAAAAAAAAAAAAAAATAAAATTCTGAATAGTCTATGCATATTTTAAAACAAAGGCCTTGGGATACCTGGAAACATTCAGGTTCTCTAGGAAATAAAATATTTTATTGGTTAGAGCTGAACAGGCTGGGCTCTTAAAATCCATGCTGTTATACATTACGTCTGTATCATCCAATGTAGTAAGTGGTAACAATGACAAACAACAGGCCAAGTTTTTGTTGCCCAGATTCTCTAAATCTATTTCTTCATATTTAACACATAAAGCGGCATCTGTGTTAAGGTTTCCAGCACAAATTACAAAAAAAAAAAAGCTCTTAGTCATTAAACATCTTTTTATCTCAAGCAAACTAAACAGGTAGAACGTAGGTATAAGAAATCAAACGTAAAATACACTTAAATGAAGACGAAAGAAAATCTGTAGAACAACCCTGGAAAATAAATGGTGCAAGCAAACAGAAGGATACTAATGATAGGCTGTCTCAGCTGCAATACTAAAAGCACCACCTTAGCACTCCTTGTAAGAATCAGCAGAAATCCCCACTCCTAATTGCAGTGCTGCAATTTTACTGGGTAGGAGGCGATTCCAAACCTTTGCAAAGAGGACATCTCTTGCATCTGTATAAGGGGATGTGACTGATTACTTACCAGTGCCTCTCGCACAGTACTCTATGAGGAGGTAAGTTTTTACACCACTGGCTCCCCACTGCTGAAGTGCACTTCACCTAGGAAGCACACCTGTGCTGCTGACAGGTCAGAGAGACATGGAGCAAAGCGCGAGTCAGGACTTTCTGGCTCGCAAGCTCGCACCGAGTCACAAGTGCCACAAAGAAACCAGCAGGAGGGGCTCACTCTGGGGGTCATAAAAGGTGCCATCCATAGGCAGCTACAGAGCACGAGGGGAAGGAGACTGGAGGAGACCAGGGAGGGTATCTGGGACAGCAGGGAATAGGTAGCAAGCAGCACTGCCAAGAGACAAGGGTTAAGTGAAATGGGATAGCACATGCCACATAAGGCAGCAGAGCAACGAAAAGAACAAAAACAGAGGTAAGCAGGTTCTGCCTCAAAGAAGATTTGGAAACCACAGCTTGATACGGCTTTAAAGATGAAAAACAGATTCTCTACTAAGAAATCCAAGCAGCAAAAACACATTAATCACACTGAAACTACTGTGAACTAAAAACTGAGGTACAAGTGCAGATTTTCCCCCAGTGTTTCAAGGGTATTATGGATTGTGTTTCATTTTAGGCCTGGGTTTACTGCTATCCTTTCCCTTCAGAATTTTTCTATTTTCTCATACTCTCTCCTGAAGAAAACTAAAGCAAAAATCCACAGCATATCAGTAACTTCTCTTACCTAGCTCTTCAATAGATGCTAAATACTTGAGACATCACCATCCAAAAAATTCTCCCCAAAAGGGGAAAAATAAGCAACGTATCAAAGTCCCCTCTACCTGCCCTGGACCCTCCTCATTTCTCACATGTCCTTTCAATAAAGGTTCTAGGCCTGTCTCAGAGGACCTATGGTAGCACATTTTCCTTCACGTCCTGATATTGAACTGCTGCATGGTCTAGAACTATCTGCTGAAGACAAGACGGTTTCTACGAAAAAGAAAAATAAGTAATCTGCTGATCTATTTTGCAGAGCGCAAACATACGCTAACCACAGTCTCTAGATGACTATGCTCATATCTTCCTTAGTGAAATCAAAATTACAATTGCAGCAGAGGGATAATTTTATTCTTTTCCAATTTTGATCTAGAAGTACAAATGAAGGTGATGCTGAGTGGAAAGATTTGTGTTTGCATGATTTAAAAGTAAGGACTGCACAGGAAGAGAGTAGTTAAGACGTAGATGTTACATACTGGGTCTTCAGTGGACTGATTTGGATTCATGGATACATAATTCTCTTCACTGTCGTGCGAGTCACTGCTGGAAGTTGTGCTATGAACTGAATCCGGTCTGGGAGACATGGGAAACCTGGAGGAGCTAATTACCAGGAATTATTTTACAAACAATACATCTTGAATATCTTAAACCTCCTGGTAAACAACAGAAACAAGCACGTTAGAGCTGGAATCTTCATTCAAGATTACTAGAGCGTCTCACAGTTTGGATATACAGTCCTTTACATACATTATTACAAAATAAGAATTAATATTGACATACTTTTGTCTTAATGCATGCATATGCATACACACAGTTCCAGAGGAAACTTCAATCTGTATTACATACGCTGAAAATACAACACAGATGTATATACACATTATTAATGCTACAGTCAACAGAAACTATCCAAATGAAGAAAAGCTAGGAAACTTACTCTCGTGCAAAGCTTCTGGTGATAGGAGACCTAACTGGGGCTTGTAATTCTTCCCATTCAGGCAAAGGTTTTATTTCTAGTGGAGCTGGTTTTGCTACGTAAGAACACAAGCATAGAACGTTCTTAAGCAAACTTAAATTTAATAGCTTTTCAAGTTTCTAATGCCAAAAAGAAACACTGTTTATTAAACAGTAAACACTAGTTAAAAAGAGACACTTTCATTCTCACAAAGCTATGACGTAACAACTTATGTTTTATGCTTTCCAGTTACAGAATAACAACAGTACTTAAAAAAAAACCCACAATTTAAGAATTTTGCAACATAGACAAGTACATAGTAATTCTATTTCGAAAAGAGACTGAAAATGGCATCAAGTTCCGTGGCACGGGGACTTGCTGAACTGATAAGCCCAGAAAGGGATGACTGACAGTTTCAGCCTTAAAATGCAAGCATTGCCAACTCCGTATGCTTTTATTGGCTTGTGCACTATTGTTACTATGCAAACTCTGCCCTCACTGCACAAGTCTCCTTACGGATTAGGTTTCACAGCTCAAAGTATGAGCAAAATATTCAACTATGATTAAGTTTGCAAAATGGAGAGATGAGCCAGTAGCTAGTTGCAATGCCAAAAGGTGCTTGGCTTGCTTCAGGAATCATCAACTAGAGAGCAGAGCAGCAGCATGCTGGTGCCACCAGAGACAGCTAACGTGCCATTTTTAAGCTCCATTTTCAGAACAGAACCACAAGTTGAGTATTAGTGAGAAACATCATCCCTCCCTCCAATATCTGCAATTCACCCTTTCCTAGCCAATAATATACATATATTAAAGGAAGATCATGAGACTTCACAGAGAAAAAAATTACACAAACTATTGTCATACTTGTAATCTGAACTTCTACCTTCTTAAAAACTGTTTTAAATGAACGAAATGCAGTGACATTTCAGTAACATCCAGCCCCACCACCCACCCCTCAAATCATCTGCTTGCGGCGTGTTAACAAATTCACCAAGATCAAATGTCAGGCAAGCGGAGTAAAAGCTGTCTTAAGAGACCACATGAGGAACTGACAGAAATCAGTTGCTTAATCAGTGTGGTCATCTTGCAAGGAACAAACAGAACTGCACTCATGACACTTTCGATATGCTCTCTCTTCAGATAGAGTTCATCGCGGAGTCAGCTATATTACATATCAAACATAAGGATGCATGATTCACATTTTCTGGTTAAGTATCAGTCTTCAGCATCCCTAACAGTTTTCCCCTTTAATTAGAGGATCATAATTACTCAAAGCACATCAAGCCCGATCCAGTAATTCTGCCACTTCTACTTGCTTATATAAGACCTGTCACCACAGCCTCTGAAGAGGACCGACAACACACCTATGTCAAGGTGCCAGGTATCGCAGGAGACAGGGTGGCAGAGCTGAACTTTACATAGGTGAGATGACACTGAAGACTGAGCGACAATAATTGTCAGTTTGGCCAGAGCCCTCTGTGGAGGGCAGAAGCTAAACGGCAGGTATAATCTGTGGCCAAGGTACCACTCCAGCAGAATGAGTAAGGACCTTGTGCAAAGCCCTCTGAGAATAGAAGCAATGGTTCATCCAGTTGCAATGGGCTTCAATAACCAAAGGTACTGTTCAGCAAAACTTCTGTGAGATTTTTAACGTTATCTACTATTTGCTCTACTACACGTGACCACATGAAGAGCCAACTCAACAGCCTAAATAACGCCCAGACTAATTGTGATATTCATACAGTTTCATACGTAAATCTCTGCAATAATATATGGTCACGGGAACAGTTTTTTGCCTTACTTCAATCCTTATCCAACAGCAAGTGACCCAAGTAAACTGTGAATTCACAACCATTTCCTAATGAAAGATATTTCAAGCAACTTCCAGGTGAGTATATTTCTCACATACATATTTCATATTCGTATTTCATTCATTTCATTCATGTTTCATATACACATTTCTGAGGAAATAAAAAAGTAAATCCAGAATACGAATAACTAAAATTTAAGAGACTTAGTATCTATGCTAAAGCCAAAACAACGCATTCATGCGCTCTTTACAAGAGAAAGCTTTGACTTTCCTATACAGGACATCTTTTGCTCAGCAAGGTATATGCACCCATGATCTTAGATTATAATACAAGTAAAAAGACTATAGTAGAGATATAAAATAACAGTTCCTTTAATTTTTGTCTTATTTTTATAAAGCTCCATAAACATACAGTGCTAAAGTACATACCCTTTCTTCTTGTAGTAAAGTCACCTATGGTTTGTGAATCAGTTCGCTCTAAACCATGTGGTTTAGGTCTTAAAATTTTAGGACTTTGACCTAATTGGCAAAAAGAAGACTCTCTTAATAAAATATTCTTTTTAAAATGGGAAAATGGAATTTTGTAAATAAACAGCACATTCCCCTGCAGAAAGGTTACCGCCACAAGCATAAGCAAGCTGCTCAAGGAAGAGTTTTACAGCCTATAGCTAGGTTTCACGCTAAAGCCGTAAGCACCAAACTTGAAACAAATAAAATACTGCATGCAAGTAATTTGCTAGAGGCAAGCGTAAAAGCTGTACAAAAAAAGCCCAAAGGTGCGTCAACAAATTCTTCAACTGATCATCAGTTGCTTTCAAGCTGTATTACATAAAAAACACCAGAAACGTACCTAAGGAATTCTCCAGCAGGACAGGAGAACAGTTACCTTTCAGATGTGAGTTAAGTTACTTCCAAACAGATTAAGTCCTTTTCAGTGAAATGACTACAGTATTGGGTACTATTACCTATTCACCACACACTCCCTTCACCTGAGAAGTCCTCAGAGTTCCGTATCAACCTGCACCAAAATCACCCCCCTGACTGCACAAACTGAGCGACCTTCTCTCCGAGCTCCCAGTCTGCACTCGGGAGCACACCAGAGCACACACGGCCTTCACCACAAATGGCCTTATCAGAAAGTGAAGTCATTTAAATATATATATTTTTAATTGCTCGTGGCCATCTGCAAGTGCAGCAGATGCACTAATCGTTCTCTAATATGCTGCACTATCACAGAACACTGTATTTTAGACCAATCTAGTAACAAAACAGAGTGCAAAACAAGAAAACATCTTAGACTGAACAGCTTTCTCACAGGAAAAAAGATACTTTCCTTTCAGTAAGGAAGCTGTTTGCCGATTAAAACCCTGCAAGCAGTTCCGGTCATGCTGCGTATTTTAAATATGATCAATAACACATGACAACTCCAATCTTCTGAGTAAGTTTACACGACAAAATGTTTAATATCAGGAAAGGCAAGCATCTCCAGGTGTTACACCAAGAAGCCATATGAGAAAGGTAAATCTTCACAATAAATCAAGTAAGTTTAAGACTGTTTATATTCAAAAGTTGCCCTACAGCAAAAAAAAATATGGGAAAGGACTGGCACAGAGTCAAATGTGGGCTCGAGCTACCAGCAGCAACCAAGAATGCCTTTTAAAGAAGTAAATTTGGCAAGAACACTGGGACTTTGCAAATCTCAGCCTGAAAGGTTTTGCATGTGAAGAGCCCTATTACTGTTATCGCTAAGCATTGGGAATAATCAAATAGTAAGTAAACAAAAAAGGTTTTGTACTATATCTGAACATTTACACACTGCTTCTGAGAGATCCTGCAGGAAAAACAATGTATTTATTTACCAATATTGTTGCACAGCAACTTTCTTAAAAATAAGATAAGAAAAAGAACAGACTTTCACACAATTATTTTTTCATTTCAAGAAAAGATGCTGCCTTAAGTGGCTAGAAGTGCTGGCAAAAAGACAGCGCACCCAGGCAAATGCTAACCAAAGACCTGGCTTACAAGTGGTACTCACAGTAACTGTCAAGAATGCCGCTGGCTAGAACTAAGCATGACCCAGCATGTTGGCCAAGTTTATGCTGTGCTGACCCGATATTCTTGAGTACCTGACCTACAACTATGATAAAAGCTTGCCTGTAGAAAAAGACCAAGGTCCCCAAATCAATCAAACAGATTTGGAAGTTAAAATTCAAATATTTTCTACTAACAACAATTTGATGTCGAATATCATCACCTACTCACATCAACTCTCCAATCCACTTCCATAATCTGATTAAGAAGAAATTCAGGCACAACTCTACTTAGAATGTCAATAAAGTACTAACACGTGAGCATAGATCAGTGCAGTGAAAAATCAAGCAGAGGTAGCAGGGTAATGGAATAATTTAACCAGCGTGTACATTACAACCTCTCTACTCTTGCAGCCAAATCATGTAGGCTGAAGTGACTGAAACCAATTGTATTGAGAGGTAAGCACTGCCTTAGGAATCTGGGTCTGCGACTCATTATTTCTGTTTTTATTAAGGGTTCAATGTGGTCTTGTGCAGTCAACCTCCCTGAACTACATTATCACTCCCATTTGCAAAACACAGATATTACCTAATTGCCTTCATACTTATACTTCATACTGCTTTGTACTTAATTTTGCATTCAGAAACTGTTCTGAGACTTTGTGAAGTGCTATATAAGTAAGTACAGGTCCCTGCAATATTTCTTTTATGCAACAGATGAGAACATACAAGATGTTCCCGCATAAAATAGATGCATGGAGTTTTTACCTCTTCCTGCTGAAAAACTGTTCAGTCTAAAATAAATTTGCTGGCAAATCAGCTTGTTATTATCGGGATAATGGAACGACCTTAGTTTGCCACAGGTAATTAAAATATTTGTGTATTTCCCTCCCCCCCCACACACAAAACCAAAAAGCCTAATCTCTTCTGAGTAGCTCACCCTGCAACAGAAAGACCTGACATCAAGGAAAGGAAAAGGAGCTGTGGAGAAACCGCAGCCATGAAACTGATGTTTCTTGTTTCGGTCTGTACCGCAGAATTCTTCCACCCTGTTTTTTTTTGTTGTTCATGAAAAAAATAAAAAATAAACTAACAGAAATCCTTTGATAATACTCTTCACTCCATCAAAAACCACATCTTAAATAAATGCGTCAGTTTTAAAAACTGTCATTCAGTGTCCAAAAATCGGCAGTTCCTCCACTATCTTAGTTGCTTCTTTGAACAAAAATACATGTTTTTAGAACTTAAAAAACCCAAGTCTCACAACTGAAGATCCTGCTGCTGAGCCAGAGTAACCTTGCTGCTTTGCTCCTCAGAGCTTTCAGAAAAGCCCTCAGAGTAAAGAGCTGAATACAATAAACAGAAAATGCAGTGTACCTGTACAACAGACTGTTCTTCACCATTTATTCTCAGAAAAAATCTCCTAAAAAGTGTCATAGGGCCCCTCTTCTAGTCAGTTTGCTGCAGGAGAAAATGCACGAGGTCTCTGTGGAGAGCACGTGGTTCCACTTGGCATTCCAGCTCCAGGGTCACTACAGAATGCGCTTCCAACGCTGTAGGTTTAGGCTCACAGACCCAAGCTGACCCAAGCTAATTATTCAGGCACTCAACATATGACAACATCTAATCTACAACACTATTCTGGGAAAGGTAAGCCTGGGTCTACAATACAGTTTGTTTATTTATTTATTTTTAAAACTGACAAGGAAACGAGACAACTAAAAAGCCCGCTAGGAAAAAAAAAGCAACAAAATAAATATGTTGTGGCTAGTGAAACCAATCAAACAAGAAGTGAAAATTAACACGTTTTTGTTGTTCACTGAAATCAGCGCTTGTGAAATGCAAAATGCTACAGTTAGAAAAAACCCTCAGTTTCTACATAGTGATACAACTGTGCAAGGGCACTCTGAGATGAAACAGATCTAAAGCAGCCCAGTTCTTTGAGAAACGGCTGCTTGCAAAAACTGCCCAGTAGAACAGGCAATTATGAATCCAGCATTAGAGTGCACTCAGACGGCATGAATTCTGCTCCTGGCATTTCAGCATGTGTCAATGCTGCCTTTGTTTAAGAATTCATCAGGAGAAGAATCACTTGTTTGACTTTGTTTCCAATAACGGTTTAAGTTAAAAAAAAAATTCTTTCTTCATTAATTGGCTGATGCATTCTCTTCTTGTTTTCCATACAACATGTGACATATGATGCCGGAGACAGGCAGTGGGAAGGTGGACCACTACAGCCAAGTCCTGTATCAGAGCAGCTAGGCCCTAACATTTCTCGTTTTAAGGACACAAAAGGTAATCATTGAAGAGCCTCATTTTGCTTTCAGGCTTTAACCTTCAAGCACTACTGCTAACAAGACTTCTGTTAAAAATTTCTGTTACTTTTTGACTAGTTGCTTGCTGCCAATGGATTTTACATCAGGAAATTGCAAATATCCTCATAAAAGAGGCCAAAAGACTCCTTAAGCACCAGCTATGTAGGGCTTACATTTTTAAAGTAAATTTACTAATGTGACATAAAATTTGAGAAATGTGTGATCTGTTAATGCTGTTTCCTGGCCAACAGGACTCTAATCCTCACGAGACAAGGAGATCAGATGTAGGAATGCTACAGCAGTGCTTTACTTGGACTAGAAGGGGGAGAGCAAGAGGAAAAAACAGCCATATTAGTGTCCTGCATCAACAGAAGTACTTTTAGAAAGGCGTACCTAATAACAGTTTTCAGTTCCCATTAAAAAAATATGCATCTTTCTCTATGCATTCAGAAGAAGCTGAAATGTGCAGAGGTCCAAGAATACCAGTACTCTAAATCATTGCGGTTTTCTCCTTAAAAAAATAATAATAAAAAAAAAAAGTCAAGTCTGAAGCTCAGTCTTAGTCCCACAGGGTTTATTATTTGACTTTCATTTCTGCAGAACAACCTCCCCCTTTCGTTCGCTTCCCCTTCCTCACCGGAGTGAATTCCTGAGTACATGGGCTTCAACACAGAGCTCTACAAATATCCTGAATTTGCTTTTTTTAAAAGATTGTTTTTAGAAAGACTGTTTCCCGCCAAGGTCTTCTATTCAGAAACATGTATTCAGTTACACAACATTCATATCCATTCCCACACTAGCACCTAGTAATAAATAGGAACAACAGTATGGTACTCAGATCTGGTCAGTGGTACCACATGGATGATGACAATTAGTCTTCTCATAACAGTAAAAAAAAGTGAAATCAGCTTATGCCTTCAATATTATGAATTTTCAAGGCAGTCATCTGAAGAGATACTCTCCAGTTTTCTTAGACACCTTTGTCTCCTCCAAATAGGTCATCACAGAGCACTGGTACTTTGAATTCTCCCAAAATTAAGAATGAATTGTAAAAAAAAAAAAAAGACTATGAAGTCAAACTGCATCTGACAGCTAAGGTTCACTGGTATTCATAAAATGTTTGGCAAATGTCAGAAAAACTGCTTTGAGAATACCAAAGCTATTAATCATCCAA